TCCTTGGCATCACTATAGTTTCTGTTTAGCTAGTGAATCAGTCAAATTTATGAGTTTCACATCAGCTCCAAAGTAAGCGTTCTACTTCCACTGATCCATTTCGAAGCGTCTGTCAGAATAAAGGTTATTGCATCCTCACAATTACTTGTTAACACACTCCCCGCACTAAATAATATGTATGCATATTATATATATATATATATATATATATATATATATATCAATGAATGAGCATGCCGGCATCTTCAACCATGGACCAAGGGTAAACTTATCACCAAAAGTGAGTTAGGTACTCCGCATCCAGGAAAAAAACTCCGAAATTGGGTAAGTATTTGTAAATTTGTAATTCTACTCCCACAGGAAATTAGTGTGGATGAACATGCCAATCATGACCTGAAATATTTCATATCGTTGTGACAAATCATCCTTATCTCATCAAATGAGCAAGCTTTGGTGTAGCCTGTGAGATCAGCAGAGCCCTTGGTAATTGGCTAGTATATATCTGAGATGTCAAAGCGCTAGCGGTTATGCCAAATGTCGGATGACTGGCCACAAGAACCTAACTCTCGGACTACGTTTCGTGAATGTGGGAAGATTCTAAATTTGTGTTTAAGTCATTCACGGCGCACGAAAGACGCAATAAACTTTGACCACGAGCTGAGCCATCTAATAAAGTATCATGGTAACTCTCTTAGCGCGTTGAAAACCAGACAACGGCATGCAAAATTGCACATTATTGTCCATGTACATGAAGGGATTTATTTTTGACTGCGTCAGCGTGACTTCATGCAGCTGTGCGATACGCGATTACAAAAAGAAATTGCTTTCGTATTTTTTCATTGCACTAAAAAAGTGGGACTCGGTAGTTCCTCCGATTTTAACGATAGGAGTCGGAAATGACGCATTCGTTTCAATCCCTGAATGAAAGAGCAGGCAGTGGGCAGCCGCACGCCTGGATTATAATGTTAACGCAAGCGGTAGAGCAAGAAATAATGGTCGCAGTTGAGGCTGTTTCATGGTGAGTCTGAACATGGCTACACCCCAGAAGTATCATACTTGAGGTGAGATGGTGTGTCTAGTTATTCAGAACGCGTTCCAGATGAGCGTCGTCCTGCGCTTGAAACTTAGTGCCGCTGAAACTGATTAGTGGCTTGTGCGGGCAATTAAATATGTTGCACCTAATCTGAAGCCTAGAAATGTTAGGTGTAGTGCTCATACTTTTAGGTTATTGAAACCAGAAGCCATTTTGACCCCTTCAATGCGGCACTTGTGAATTGTCCACCAAAATAAATGCGATATGATCAAAAATATGATGAATCTTTTTTGCACTGATCTTAATACAAAACCGAATTCCTACCAGCCAACAAGATGCGTTGAGCAGCTTAGCACCCACTGGCTTATGGCAACTTGCTGCGCATTTTCCCCAAGGAAAATCACCAAGTTTCTGTATTGAAAGATACATGAGCTAAATTTGCTTTTAATATATATATATATATATATATATATATATATATATAATCTATATCTATATCTATATCTATATATATACCAAATTATACTCATAAGCGCCAGTGTCAACATAAAAGTAGTCAAGTTATATAATATTTGAAAAAGTATAAGTGGAAGCGGAATAGCAGGGATTCACGTGATTTTTTTTTTTTTTTTGGTGAGGCTGACCGAACCAGATTGGACTGAGAAAAAAGGATTGATGGGGGATTCGATCTGGACTAGCCGTACAAGACTGGATGAGACCCTGAACATAAAATCCGTGGAGTACTGAAACTGACAGCCGCTCATTATGCCTGTGAAGTGCTCAGGCTACAGAAAGAGTGCAAAATCTGGCATGTAGGGCGCGCAGAAAACCTCCCAAAAGCTGACCAATAACAGCTGATGAGGACCTTTGGGCGGCCGCACAGGAAGTGTACAGGTTGAGCTGGGCTGGGAAGCTAATTCTGACAACTGGCTGAAGGGCCATATTCGCGGATACGGGTTGTCATTAGCGAGGAAAAATCTCGCGGCAGGATGACTTCAGGACAGCGCGGAATTCAAGAAACCATGTTCTACACTGCAAGTGGGTATTAAGGTTCATGATGGCATGAACGAATCAAATGTCATTTTTTGCTCGAAAGGTTCCCGTAAAATAAGTGTTGGCATATATATATATATATATATATATATATATATATATATATATATATATCAACAGTGTGTGTGTGTGTGTGTGTGTGTGTGTGTGTGTGTGTGTGTGTGTGTGTGTGTGTGTGTGTGTGTGTGTGTGTGTGTGTGCACGCGTGTACGTATCCATAGCATGCAATGTGAACTAGACTGCACTCAACCTGACAGTTGGCAATCTGCGCCTATCAAGTGCCAGCCAAGTGCACCCACACGTAGGTAACCACTTTCCCGCTAGCCGTTACTAGCCATGCCGTCAGTGATAGCATGTCAACAATTCAGTATCGGCTTGCAGCTATTGCACTATTGATTAGCTAGCACTAGTTACAAGCATATTATAAAGTTAACTTACTGAAGTAGGAAGCATTCCGAAATACAACAGCATTTATCGCAAGTAAGCCCTGCAAAAATCTTCTTCACTCGGCCCCAGTCTTCCAGTCAGCAAGAAACTAAACTAAGCTAAACTAATCTGAACTGAACTGGACAACTGAACTAGAGATAGGCTAATGTAGGCGCCAACTCTCATTTCCGCAGGATACCTGCAACTCCCCTCATTAGGCCGCTCTATGATGAGTTAGGAGTCAGAACAGACTACCACGCTGCGTAGATGTTAGAGCGCCCTGCGCCACTTTGTCCACATTCCAAAACTACTCAATTTGGAGGCCGAATTATCACACCCAAGTTGCGTGTTGCGTGAAATAGTAATTGATGCGAGATCACTTTTTGCGATATGCAATCCACATCTGAGACGGGACGACCTTGTCACTCTAGCTGTGTATTTCATTATAGCCTCAGCAATGGCATACGCACAGCAGTTCAAGTAGTACTGAATGATGGGATAGGTATGGACTAGATTATTTTTGTGATGATTGACAATATAAAATATAACTAGCCATTGAATTTTTCAAGTAGCAGACAATCTTTCATTGATTTTCACCTAGCGCATGGGAATGAGGGATTTCGGTATTCTGCCTGAAAGCTGGTGCTGATTTTGCGAGAAGCTATATAGCTAATGCTGCATGCTGTTCACTTTAACACTCTGAAATGACCTGTTATAATGTCTGGAGCGTGGTGTGGTTCTCATTTCACCATTTTCCTGTGAGCCTTATGACCCACTGACACCGGCATTATTAGAAATGATCAGCTTTCATAAAAGTTACGAAGAATGTAATTCAGCTCATGACACAGAGCTGCACTTTTGCTGATGAACTGACTCAGCTCACGACCCGCGCCCCCCCCCCAAAAAAAATTGTCTCATGAGCCAATTCATGATCCAGCTGGAAACACAGGTCTGTCCTCAACCACATTTCGATGTCTGCTATCGATAGCCTGTTTCTTTTTCTGTTGTTCTTCAGACAATACTTCCCGGCCTTATCTGGAAGGGTCATCCCGTCATCCTAGCGTGCAGATTATGCTGTTCTTCTACAAATGACCGAGCGTGGCCTGACCCTCTAGCTGATGCGTGGCCTGACTCTCCTCTATCGTGTATCTCTGTTTTTGCAGCCCGGCTGGTAAAACGTGGGCTAACTGGACCAATGTGACGCAAATATTTCAATTTAAATCGCGGACACCGCTGGATTGAATTTTCGTTAACCGCATTCATAATAATCTAGAATCAAATTTAATCACGTGCACAAATAAATATGATACCAAGAAAGGTGCATACGTAAATACAACACGAACACTTGCAGATGTGAAGTCTTATGTCACTTGGATTTGTTCTCACGAAGTTTTGATGCAACACGTAAACTTGCGGATGTGAAGTTTTGTGTCACTTGAATTTGTTCTCACGAAATTTTGCTTCTACGAAGATGTCGGTCCGAAGACGTGCTTTACGACTGCATACTTTCTGAAGTGTTGCTTACGAAAAATACTGTGCGAAGGTCTGTCCGGAAACATCTCGGGAGAGCTCAGCGCCGGGCACCGGGCGTACTCATTCAGAACGGGAATAAGACGAGAATTTGCGGAGAGTACGGGGCAATAGCGAACAGAGGGTGATGTCAGCAACTTTCGCGCTGAACCAATTGTTCACTGCACATAACCGGCCGACACCAATCTAAACTATCATTGGCGTGATGTGACCCAGAGGATGTCAGAGCTGATCTAGTTGAGCGCCGCCAGAGCTGCGGTTGTCCAGCGACTCCACCGCACGACAGGTCACCTTGCGTTCAACAGCACCACCGTAGCGCGTCCCTGCTGTCTTGTAAACAAGTGCCGCTAGCTTGAATTGAACTCCGGCTGTGGTTGCAGCGTCACCAAGTGCGTTGGGAACCTTCGCGGCACTGATCTCGAATGCATCGAGGATGGGGCCCCGTATTGTTGAATGAACTCCTTCAGTTCACACGCAACGCTGACGAATTGAGTGGATCAAAACACGTTGTATAATCCTGCAAGAACAAACGCAGCAAAGCTCATCAACGCAGAACATCGGGCATATTGCTAATTATACTCTCTACCCACGTCTTCAGTTGCAACGCTAGCGACTAAAACACGGGCGTAACCGACAGCACCACCGCAGCGTACCCGCCTAGCACGGGGCCCGTAATTCGGACGAGGCTGATGAACCTTGGCGTAAGTTTGGCAGCTTGGCCTTAGTTTAGCGTTCCTCTAATTTAGATTTCACTCAATGGATGTCGCGGAGAGCAGTAGCCGCATTGCATTTTGGTCACCAGATGCCGGAAAGGCTATGGGCCATTTCTACACCCGTTATTAGTCTGAGCTGTCCAGGCGCTATTACTCTCACGGTCTGAAATCCAGCACATTATTCCTGGCCTTTCTTTATGACCTATTGCAACGCTTCATTTGCTTTTTGTTTTCGCCCTTCGCATGTATTGACTAGTAGTTTTGGCATACAAAGCTCAACCCATCGTTCATACCGACCATTCTAGGTCAGAGATGGCACTGATGAAATCCACACGCTAATACAGTTCTTCATTCGTGACACTGTTCTTCCTGGGTACGGGTCATTACCACTGAGCTGCGTTGGATCCTGATCAGCTCAGTAGCGTAACCATGGTACTCGACGGGTTATGGTCGCAGCGCGCTAGAGATTTGCACTCATATCCCGACCAGATGGCTCATTTGTTGATAACAGTCTAGACACGCGGTCATATCACAAATTGCGGTCACATATCTGGGCGCCAGTTGGCAGGCGTCGCGACCTGACGTTCTCGTGCCTTCGGCCACCGGATTCCGAAGATGCTGGCGTGTTACACGCTTGCGGAATGCCACCCTGCAGCGGCAGCGTTTCCATGACATCGTGCTTTGCTGAGGCCAAAACTTTGTGGAGTTAATACAGCGTAAGGAGAAAACTCTTGGCAATAACACGCGTGTCAAATGACCGAGGAGAATATGCAGAACGAGTTATGCAACTTTTAAATGTCTCTAACTTTAAGACGGTTGTCAAGGCAGACCCAATCTCCTAATCTTCTTGTTGAAGGTCCTGAGTCTTCTCGATCCCAAGCTCCACAGACTGTTGCATCGGGCACATGTCCTGCAAGTCCATTACAGTACAAACACTCAGTTTAAAGGATTTGTTGTTTCACAGGGAGAACGATGCACATTGTTCAGAGATGTTCAGAAACATCCAGAAGTAGAGAAGCGTACAGAACACAACTTTGCTCATAAAGTCGATAGCAAATGGGTACAGATGCAGCAGAGAGACATCACAGCGTTCCTCAAAACGGGCCCTTCCGAGCTAGTTTACCACCTGGTGTCAACAGGATGTCCGAAAATCGGTTCGACGCGATTACGGGTCAGTATGCTAGTCCATGAGCACGCAGTGGTTTACACCTCGGCAGTTTCGCTCCGTTCACACCCCGAGAGCGCAAGCCCCGCCAAGTACACCACGAGTTGTGTCCAGTGCAGGAGGACACCGCACTGCGGCATCGAGCGTGGCCTCCGTCCCGTCCATGCGGCCCACCTTCGTCCCCGTCCTTCGGCGAGCGGCGCCCCTTCGTCCTCGTCCTTCGGCGAGCGGCGCCCCTTCGTCCCCATCCTTCGGCAAGCGGCGCCCCTTTATCCTCATCCTTCGGCGAGCGGCGCCCCCTCGTCCCTGTACTTCGACGAGCCGCCCACCTTCGTCCCCGTCCTTCGACGGGCGGCGCCCCTTCGTCCCCATCCTTCGGAGTCCTCCCCTAACGCACCCCGACTCACACCGTCCCGTCACCCCTGCCGCGCTCGCCTTGGGGTTTGGTCCTCGGCATCACGGGGAGGGGTCACGCCAGGCCGAAATATATGGCGGTGCCTTAATCGGCTGCAGTGTCGTCTCGGTGGTGCCGTCCGCCGGCCGCCACGTTAGTTGCAGCAGCAGCCGAGGCAGCAGTAAAAGATGTGCCACGACTCCCAGAACCAGTGGCAGAAGTTGCAACAGGACCAGCAGGCACGCGGGCAGCACGCGCAGCGACGCTCCGCGCACGTGGTCGGCGGCGTGACGTCACCGTGACGCTCCATCATCGGCTCGCAGACGTCACGGGCTTCCATCCTGAAACGCATGACGACATACTTGACCGCGCCCACTATGCAACAAGTGGTCTATAGCGTCATGAGGGCATCCGGAAAGACACGGTCATTCATGGCAGCACTTCTTATTAAAGCTGCACTTTTTCGAAGCCCTTTTCACGTGGGTATCATCATACATTTAGTATCAAAATCTTAGCTGCACGAAACCTACGGCAAACAGGAGTGAAGTGCATTGAATGTCGTCAAGTCTATCAAACAGCGGATCAATTTTATTCTGCACGACCTTGAATTTCTTCATCACGTACTTATTCTCCACCTCACCTTTGCGACATTGATGCCGTGTGCCTCAATTTGCAAAGGTAAAAATGACAAATAGGTACATGCCAGCAAAACAAACCGCCTCCGCCGCCAAATTCAGTGGCTGTTATGATAGGCCTGGCGACAAACGACAGGCGGTGCTCTTACCTATGTATGTCACATTTGGTACAAAATTCGTCCCTCGTCTACAAATTCTACCGCGAATAAGGGCTTGCGAGACACGAAGCCATACGTGAGGGCGGCTGCTGATTACCCTACACGACACAAATTGTGCTGTTACCTATGAGAAATAAGGTTTCGTCACGAGTATAAATATTCGACGCGCAGATGTATACGGCCTCTGCACCAGACCGTCTTGCAGTGGCCGAAAACTGAAAGGAAACAGACCAGTAGTACATGCATACCGAGTACCCCGCATTATTGTGAGCAAGGTCGCAGACCGAGTGTGTGGTGCCCAAACTGACACAAATTCGGATCTACACAATTATTGCAGTCATTGATCGTGTGTCCATGCAGTTTTCGCCAACAAAAAGCCTAATCGTTTCAGTGAGTGTCACATAAATTGTTATGACGTTTGCGTACAGTGTATCAGATCAGACAGTTTGTTTGTTTGTTTTGCATTGAAGTATTGCCATGATTTCACAGTTCCCTTGGATTGCTATTGAAAACATGAGACTATTCATTTGTAAGAGAGCATGCACGCTTGTCAAAACCAAGTCCGGGCCTCGACAACCCGGGATTGCGGCAACGCGAGACAGAGACATTTTGACAGAGAAGAAAAATATTAATCAAGTAAATAACCGAGTGAGTCAAGGTTTGCAGGTCACATACTTTCACGGATTGAAGTCAGATTTCAGTCATCATAGCTGATGAGTACGCGAAGCCGACCGCACAGTGCAGACTTTCTGGTTAAAATTCTTAAACGGATCTCAAAACCGTGCTAACCATGCCTGTATCAGAAGCCGACCAGGAAAGGAACAGTGTCACTTTTTCTCAAACCGACCACGAACACGACACGGTATGGATTGAACCGAGGTGGAATGTGCCACGAAAGTTACACGGACGTGCAGCTTGAAGTGTTGTGATCAATATCAGTGGTAACATTTAGATACCCAAAAAGATGAGCCGAAAGTCGATATAGACCAATTCGATTCTCACCCGGTCATTGGTGATTTTTTTGTTTTTTGGGGACGAAAAAAAATTGGATGGTTTTAGGTTGCAATGCATCTAATTTGTTAGGACTATAGAAATAAGTGAGCAATAATAGGTAACTTACCAGCTGCATGTGGTCCTACGACGCAAGTACACGTGTACGTTTTAAACAAATTGCTGATGACTCATAAGGCCCAGCAAAAACAAAGGACTATGGTGTGGCACATCCCCACAAATAAGAGTAAGAGCCAAGCAGATGTTATGTGATTAAACACAGCTAATGGTGGGAACCAAGCAGATGTCATGCGATTAAACACAATTAAGAGTAAGAGCCAAGCAGATGTCATGCGATTAAACACAATTAAGAGTAAGAGCCAGGCAGATGCCATGCGATTTGAAACGGCGCAATAATTAGCTCTGTAATTAGCTTTGCACCAGTGATGGACATGGCACTTCATGAGATCATTGAGGCCAGACGCCACAAAGCTCAATCAAACCTAAGGTTTCAAGTGAATGGTTCTTACTAAACCGTTCTTCCGCAGAACAAAATCTGGGAGCGGTTAAGGGACGATTGGAACTTGCGTTCCATGCCCTGAATTTACATAAGCAAAACAATCTTCAAGTTCTCCACGTTATGAAACCCTATGGTATGGCATCCATATGGTGAAATGCCATGGCTTGGAAGCTAATAAAAACATACTGACCTTTGCACAACACATGGCAAAAAATTTGATACAAACACTTCGAATGGGTGGATTTCTGGGAACAGCGCTCACGCTAAGCAGTGCTTGTTGCGTGAGCCCTGACCCCTACCATCCGATCGCGCAATTCCAGGCAAAGGCAGAATTAAGAGACGAAATCTTAACGTGCCGCAATGTCCGGCACGGTCCGTCTTGCCCTCTGACGTCATCTGACCTTTATCGCCCCACCGCCACCGGCCGCAGGCCATACCTGTCAAGGGCAAATAGCGAGCGCGAGCGAGCGACTCGAACCCACCCCGCCACGGGTGGATGAATCGGGAACCAGGCGCTCTGACCAACTGAGCCACCGGGACGGACATTTGTTCATCATATTATTTGTTCATCAAGTCAACCTCAATCATATTGAGTTCGAATTAACCTTTTAGCAACAATTTATGCCATCTGCTCCCGGAGTAAACACTGCATACAACATTTCCGTGCGGTACTTCCGAAACAGGTCGTACTGCGCGCACGTAAAACCACCAGATGAAGGGAGTAATCCGTCGAGCCATCTCACGATGGTCTGTGCTGAAAAGGTAAACAGCATAAGCAGTAGGCATGTTTTGTTCCCACCACACATTCCAGGCACGTTATTCATCACCCCCAGGACACCACGACCATCTTTAAAATGAGTCCGGGTGGCCGGTTGGATACCCTTCGCTCGGATGGGAGCTAAATTTGATTCCCACTGAAATCTCAGGAACCAGAAGAACTAGAGACACCAAATTTACAGGGTGTGTTGACCTGTATTTAAACTCACTCAGATCGAATTTTGAGGTTGCTAGGTCATGACCTTCGGGTCAAATAAGGTCATCCAAGGTCAAACTCAAGGTTGGTCTCCAAGGGCCCCCAGAACCTAGATACCTGTTCCAAGCAAAATGTCACATGCTCATTTGCGGTCAGTGACTTTTACCTTTTGAAGGTCATAGCGACCAAAATCACACATATCAGACCTCTTTGACTTTTGCAGTTAAGTAAGAGACAAATATAACGCTAGGTAGTATGTTCCTAAAAACAAATGTTGACCTGGGTTATTTTAGGTCAGCGAGCTATTCTGACCCTTTTGACGTTCATGGGGTATTTACAATGCGGTTTCTGTTATCAACAGATTGGAAATGAGCACCAGAAACTACCTCATGCAGCAAGCCACAGAGTAATAAACAGGTTGGGCTTGACCTTGGTCTGACCTTTAAACCTGGCGCTGGGTCAATGGAATTTGTGCATTCAATTGTTGTGTTAATGAGAAAGTACCTTCATAGATGTGTGGTTTCGTCTAACACGCCTTTGTCGCATTATTGATGGAACGATTCCTTAGAAATTGATTTCGCTGAATCCATGGCCTGACTTTAGCTTGCCGTTGGTCAGTGACCTTACCAGGCAGATATATTGTTTTATACTGAACGATCCGCAATTCATTGGTCTACAGCTATGCAAAATTTGGCGTGGCAATATCAAACGCTCGGAAACCACACTGGAAAAAACTTCGGGAGTCAATATGACCCCCACCCGAGCGCGTGGGAGGTCAAATTGGCCCCTTGACCCAAACTGACCCAAATAACCGAAAGCATCTCGCACGTGTCTTCAAAGAGCTTATTGGTGAGCTCACGGATAACGCACGTGGTAGTAGTTACGTATCATCACGTTGTGACTGTTTTCCGCAGTGGCGCCATTGCAAAAACTGCACCTGTCTGACAATGCGCCGATTACGTTGACTAAAATTACCAAGCCTGACTCCGTGGTTGGCTGCTCTGAGCTTCCTGAGCAGAATCACTGCAAAGCAAGTCATTTTTTCACTATTTCTTTATTTAGAATCGGCGCGCGAAGGGATACATTAGTGGACCAGCACCCATTAAATCTTCGCGGAGGGCATCCTCTCCAGCTCCCTTAAGAGAGTTGTTGCCGAGTGTGCCCAGACTCATTATCTTAGCTTTGGGCATAGTCTACATCACAACTGAGCACCTGCACATCTGTAATCGTATCGCCCGTCTCACACCGCGCAAGGCTTCTTAGTGGGTGATTTAGCTATATGCGCTGTACGCGTATGCAACGACATGACAATAAATCACTGAGCAAAAGTTTCCCATCTCACTTCGTTAGTTTGGGTCTCGCCAAGCTTAAGAATGGCTCGGAGGCCTTTCGTCAAGGCGATTGAACAAGGCAGCGGAGCAGAAAGGCATCCGCTCACCAATAGCGCTTGACGAGCCCGGGTCCGTGCACCAAATGTCGGGGAGAGTTGATTTCTCCGCCCACCTGTTGCTCCTCATCAGCATATCCAACCACGCCGCTCAGAAACCATTGAATATGAAGGCGTGTCATGACTGACTCTGCCATCTAAAAATCATCTGCACGCTCGCGCTCTGTCACTTGAAGATACCGTCAGGCGCATAAAAACCTTACATCAGCAAGGCGCGTGTACCTAAGCCCATCTGCTGCGGTAAAGTGGCTGCAAAAGGAATCTTCAAATCAACAGAAAACATAGCGCTTCATATGCAGGGCCAGGTAACGGCTCGAATGACCTGAATCGCGGGTTGCAGTGGCCAGTGGGCCGTCAAGAACGTCAGCGCTGGCTTCGGTGAACTCGGCGACAGTCCGAGGGATCAGCATCACGTTGTCCTTGCCTTACGTTATTGTATTTGCAAGGTCGAACTTGTACCCAGGGTCACAGCCCGCTCAAGACGATTACGACTGCATGATAGCAGCGTGGCGACTGACCAATATCAGCGTCTACTGTCGGCGGCCCACGAGCGCCGTTGCCGGCGGACGAGGACCGCCTCAGCTGCGGTTTACGCTAAATGCTATTGCTTAAAGCGTTTCTGACATCTCCATGTGTGGGACTTGTCGCTGCTACCCATTGTGTTTAAAGTATCGCGTAGCTGAATAAGAAAGCTGTCATTATGAGGCCACAACCAGCGAATTTTCGTGTAAAATCTCAGACGGTCTAATAGATATCCAAGCAGGGTATCTGCCAAGCGCACATTGGGGTGCATTAGTGGAATATTCAATACGCATTAAAAATATCAGTTTTGATAATCTGTGTTTTTCTCAGAAACCCATGGGCTCAACAGAAACCAAGAAGGTACCGCGAACACATACGAGATACACGACGTGCGGCCTTCATTAATGTGTAAAACAGTGCAGAGTATTTGCATTTTAATTCCAAAAAGCAGCTCTTCTACTGCATTTTGAACCTTTTGAGTTGAGTGAAGATGAGCACCGTTGCTCTCCTCTCAAGGCGAGCAGTACGCTCGTTTTTGGTTTCTGCTGCGAACCCCTAGCTTAGGGGCCAAACGGATGTTACTTCTTCGGTATGCTACACAAACACAGCAGAACCCGAGGAAGGGAGACCGCTCAGCGTAACAGAGGCTACACAGATAGCGGTAAGAGAAGTGGAAAATGCCAAAAAAGCGCGTAACTTCATTTACGGACGTCCCCTTACCTCTGTGATGTATTGTCTTCTAAATGTCATTTGCGCGTACTGAATGGCAGAAGCCAAAGCTCATCTAAAACGTAATAGATCCCGTGAACGGGGCTTGATACATGTTTGAAATTGCGAGCGTTCTTTTCAGCTGCATCTGACAATGCGTTTGACGAGAGACTGAAATGTGAAAGCGGACCAACACCAATCAAATTGTACAAAATGTATGACTTAACGGATTGGACCGAAATGCATTCAGAAACGACGGAACAGACGCGTTGCGGGCCACGTAAATCTTATGTTTGCGAGCAGGATCGGAACTGCTGCTGATAATTCGGTCCGCAGAGACCTGTACCCCAGTACCCGCGAGTCCGGAATCGAGTCAGACCGGACTCGGATTCAGTCTGGCCTCTAACCTTACGGCCACGTTTTTGGACTCGACACACAGCACTAGCCTTGGCAGGGTATCCCATGAAGTGTTTTAGGCGCTGGGACCTGGACTCCAAATATGACACCAACCTTGGCTGGGGATCCTGCGAAGCGTTTTAGAGAGCTCGGACCTGGACTCCCAACAACGACCATTGCATCAGTGGCGTGTGCCAAATATCTGAGACCGCACAGAGCTCTGCGGCTTCGGCGCCCACAAGAGAAATGCTCTGTGACGACGCAAGCCCTGTCCGGCACGTACTCTAGCTCCGTCCCGCCAGTGCACCTGTCGTTGCAGCCTGCAGCTGCTAGGGAGTCGCCGGCCGTCATCGTCGTCACCGCGACCATCTCTCGGCCGCAAGCGTGCAACAGCCCGGCGGGGACGGTGAAATTCGACAGGCTTCGGCCGCGCCGGCCGCCTCCCCACCCCACTGATGACGCGGCTGGTTAATTTTCTAAAACGGCGACACTTTCTCGACGCTGTTGACGGGTGGTGAGCGGCGTGTGGAGGGGGCGGGGAGGGGTGGCGCTCCGCACTGAATGCCGCTGTTGCGCACTGCCGAGTGGAAAGTTGCCCAGTTATTAACGCATTAAACGAGCCGAACACCGTTCGACCGAATGGGAAGAAAAATGCTTTTCTAGTCTCACACGGAGGATGTTTTCGGAGCATGGTACACCGGCTTTAGAACCTCTCAGTCACGGGTCAGGGGAGAATCACAACACGATATCCAGCTTCGCGTTCGGGCGCCTGAACGCGCCAGCGGGGTTTGGGCTCCAGCTCCAACGGCGCGGACGCCTCTGTTATGGCGGACAAAGAACAGCGCCGCAGAACACACGTTAAATCAATAGGTGTAGGGACCATACCTCTGCCGCCTCCCTGGTCAGGGGAAAGACGTTAACCTCGTCATCCGGACGTGATGGGTACGGATCCCAGCACGGGCACAAACTAGGGCCCGGATGACAGAAAGGGTGGCTAGAAGCTGGTCAACGAGGATCAACCCAGGTCTGGGCCGACCGTGCAACAACACTGCGGCACGTTCAGCCGTCCGCAGCCCTGTGCTGTGCGGCGAAAATGCAACGGGAAAATTATTCGTTGGAACGACGGCACACCATGGACGGTGGGTTTAAGGCATACGCAACGAGCTGTGCTCAGCAAGTACCCTGTGTCTAGTCACATTGTCACATTCTGTCACATAGTCACATTCTGCACTCATTCTGACACCCGTCAGAATAATTGCAGAATGGTTTTCTTTTTTGAAATTTCTTTTTTCAGTGTCTACTCTGACACGTCCTCTGTTTATATCACGTGAGCATACGTATCTTGAAAATGGTTGTGAGTGCTAAAATCGCTGCAATCGCATTTCCAACCCGATGTTATTTTGCCTCAAACATTACACAAGAAACACCACAGATCTTCAAACCATTGCGCTCACGCAGTTTGGCAGCTGCTTACCTGCTGACAGCATCGGACAGCATCGGGCCAGAGGTCACGGCCGGGGTCAGCAGTCGTCGGTACCACTCAGCCTGCCGAAGCCCCGTCCGACCGCCGTACCGTTTACCGGCGCCCCGGCGCGCGCGACAGCCGGCGGTTGACACCTCGCCTCCCCACGGCGCGTGTTCACCCGCTCACCGCAACCCGCCCCCTGCCTCTCCACGGCCGCCGGCCGGCCAGAACGACCTCATTCTGGGCTCTCGACCGCCGCGGCACCGGCCCCTCCGGCGCGCGCGGCCAACTCCGCCGCAGTGGTCGGCCGGACGTCGCTCCGGCAGCGCGTGCGCAGAAACAGCAGAACACCAGCAGCGGCGGCGACATCAGACACGTGGTCGCCCGCTCGCGCCCGGTGAGTTGTTTGCCGCCGGGTGACCTTGGCTGCGGGATCGGCCGTTGGCCGTGCGCGTTATCGCGGAAGTCATGGTGCCGCTAGGCGGGTCGATGGGGGTGGCGTTGGTCAGGAGTGGGACGGCGCGAGATAGGAGAGGGGCGCGGCCGCGCGCTGCTGATGGAGCCCTTCGCCCTGATGGAAGGCGTTGGGAGGTGGGAGTGACGGCTGGGCTGCACTCGTGGCCAGGGCGTAAATCGGGTTGCGCAGCGAGTGCCGCTGAGTTTCCTTGCCCGTCACAGAAAACGAACGTGTACGAGGTCATGACGAATTCTGTGATGGAACCTTTGTTTTTTTATTGAATTCCTTGAAAATAGTCGATCTTATTATTTGAAAGCAAGAGGCTTGATTGAGCCCTAAATTCATGGGATATCGAATACAGCCGCCCATCCAGGGACATCATGAATATAAGGCTAAGTTCAATGAGCTGACGGAGACTCGTCGATAGACGAGGAAAAAACATCAGTGTCTGTCAACTACAGAATGCTAACCGACCGGAATAAAGCATCGGGACGGGTACTAGACACAGCACTCCCCTGGCCCAGCCCCAGGGAGCCCTCGGACACCTGGCGATGCATTGCCGAGCACCCCTCAGTGGCGGCCAGTTTCGTCGTAACCCTTTGTTACTCCTAACTTCTGTCATGAGTTCTCTCGCGTGGCGATAAATCCAGTCAGGCAGCTTTCTCGGCCGAACATACTTTCGGTTTCAGGCCGCGGCGGTCGTCCCGGCCCGACCGCCTCGCTGCGAGACCCGGAGGCGTGACGGAGCGGGGCGCCGCCAGCCCTCGGCACGCGATCATTTTCACCGACGTGACGTCGACCCATTTTCCCTGGTGATGCACTGTCCTGCCGGAGGTCTGTTGAAAGTGTATCGCGTTGCCAGTTTCGTGCACGGGCACGTGTCAAGATGCGTGGCGTCTTCCGTGTTGCGTTCCGAGAATGTATTATCATTCCATACTGTTGCATGCGGTGGAATTCGTCACGGGTTGGATGAACCTCTGGATTTATGACGAAGCGACGAATTGGACGGTCTTGATCAGAAAAGCTCCCAGCGACAAGAATTGTGGCTGGGCTTGATGAAGTGGTCTCCACAAATGATTATGGTCACCAAAGCTTGGCTTAAGACGTTGGGCCCGCGCAGTTGGCACAGATTTGGACGTCAAGGTCGCCGTCAGGTCGCATAAACGTTGTCGGATGTTAGCCTTGTCTGACTCCTCCACCCTCCGTTGCTCGTGCTGCTAAATTTAGACTTGTTCATCTTGCTAGCCTAAATTTAGTCCGCTAACCCGTTGTCATAACGACGGAGTGCAGCGCCACCCGTCTGACATGGGGGCTCTCTCAGGACACGAACAGGACACGAAGGAATGAACGGCAGACGGATTGGACTGGAACACTGTTACGTCAGGATGGGACAAGATGCTCTGTTTGCTATTTGTCTAAAAGATCAGGACATCAATTCTGTATTGTCCGCACTCCCAGCCCTGCTGTACGCGTCCGTGCCTTCATCAGAGGCTGGGATGCTTGCAGGAAATATGACACGCTTGAAACCGTGCCGGGGCGACTGACCGGGTGACCTTTTCCTGATTGGATTGCCTGCGGGCTTGCGCGTGACTGCGGCCGTGTCGGATATGAGAGCAGGGGGAGGGGGAGGGGGCGCATGTAGCATCGCCTGCCCTGAATACTCCATCGTTGTGGGGGATCCATTGGACGGAGGACGGCGAGCTTCCGACCGGTCAAGATGAGGGTGGCCCAACTGAACGACCCCTGGCCAATCTAGTTGGCGTTAACGGCATTTAAGTCGTCGAAATACCGCTTGGCGAAGTGGAACGAAGGTAGCATTTTCACGCTGACTTGTGAAGGCGTTCGAGAGGCAGACACGTGCAGCTGCAGATCGCAGCAGAAGACGCGTCGCCTGTGCCGTCCGCGATTCAGCTCAGTGCCTCTAAAATGTGACGGTATCGCTGTAACGCCACGCCATATGCTCCTCCGTCGTGACATTTCAGAGCCGGAACACCCTGATAAATATAGCCCTCGACTTGCCTCGTCAGGCGTCAGTGACACCGTTTTCTGTCGGCGCCGTCACCCTGCCGGAGTCGTTGGTCTCCCAGCTGACTCACCCGCTCTCCACGGAGCACGTGCCGACACCGCCGACCCAAATCCAGGTGAAAAATGCTACGCTGAGCATCCCCGACCGGAGCATCCACGCCGCGCACAAAAACGGCGCGCCACTCACGCGGGCAAACGAGCGCGCCACTCGGCTAGATAGGTCATACCGCCGCCTTCCGCGGCCCGCAGCCAGGCCCGCGCGCGGTTGTGCAGCCCCGGGCGGGCGTGCGTGTGTGCGCGTGTGCGACAGCCCGGGCCGGGTCGGCGCGTGGCGAGGAGAGACGAGCGGGTGTGGGCGGCGGAGCCTCCAGAGCAGAACGCCGTGTCATCATGGGCATCGAGAGCAAAGCTGAGCTCCAAGATTACCCCTTCACCTGAGCTGACACATGCACGCCTGCATTGTGTTGTTTCCGAGCAGGGTAATGGCCGGCATCTGTAACGCACTTTGTCTGGGCGCATAGCGTGTGCGTGAAGGTCGGGGTTTTGTTTTGTTAAATATTTGTTTTTCCAAGCCCACAGGTTTATGCGTGGGTCATGTCGAGTAGCATGCGAGGTTACAATTTTTGAGATGGATAATTGCACAACATCAAACCTTCCGTAACTTTTTGTGGGGGGGGGGGGAGATGATTATTGAACCACGTGGGCTAGCCTCATGCAGTTTCATTCTCTGATGCCACTTAAGTTTTAAAAAGCCCACAGCTTTGTGCGTAGGCTGTGTGAGTTTACGGGCAGAAACAGCTGATGTTTTGGGGCGTGAATGATCAACACGTGGTTCAATGTAGCGTCCGTTGTAAGCGAAGCGTTCATGTCAAGTTATCACTAAAATTTACTCAATTCTAATGTCTGTCCCATGAAGCAGTATTACCGCAAGACATGTAAGTCGCAATTTTGTGTCGTTATAGGCCACTGACCTCAACTGACGATCGGCTCTGCAGTAGTTGGAATAGTACTTTTTAGAGGCATAACTGGCTAGCCTTGTCCACTTTTTTACTTAAGATGCCATTTTTTCCTGTAAGTAATATTTTCAAGCGAAAAGGTCGTCACGTTCCACAAACCTAGTCCATGACCTGTGCTAGCCTGTAGTCTGCTTCATAAAATCAAGTTCTTGAAGGGCAATTAGTTACTCACATTTATCGTTTTACCAAACAGCGACACTTTCACACCTGCACGTGCAATTTTACGTCGGAAGCCATGATTTGATAACCCGGTGGCCTAATAGTGCCGGTCGGGCTTAAAACTAGCATTGACCTGGTACTTTAAGGCAAATAACCTAATACAATAAATATGTTCGACAAATTTCCAGTGCACGCAAACGTATCATTAAAATCCACTGGCCAGTTAATGATAAGTACAAATAGGAAGACAAGTAAGTTATCAGTTGACGAGTTGTGCCCTAACCCAACGCACGAAAACATCTCAAGGTAGTTTCTCATAGAACTACGAGTATTCTTCTAGATCGAAAAAGCGCCGATATTTCGGTTCTAATCCAGTTCTGTTCTAATCCAGTTCGGTTGTAATCCAGTTCTGCCTGTGACCCTAGGGACGGATATCAACTAGCTCGGGATGTCCAGTCATTTCTGAGGCGACGCAGCTTCCTGCCATCGCGAGTGTGAATTCGACACACCCGTCACCTGCCCTGAGGTTTACACCGCACGCAGAAGACCCCTTCCCCTCTGTTCCGCGCGGTAACCCCGACGGCGCGCGCTGCGGAACCGGCCCAGCGCGTGGGCGGCGACAAAGCCCGGGCCAGCGGTGTCACGGCCTCTGGCCCGCTTTCACTCTCAACCGGCGGCGCCAGCGCGCCACGCGCCTCGCAGCGTCAGTCTCGCCGCCGCCGCCGCCGCCACTGCGCGGTGCTCTCGGCTTCCGTGGGAGGCCCCGGGGACGAGTCAGCACCGGCGGAGATAGATCCGGTGACCGGCCGGCGACGCCCACCGATCAGCGACGCGGTAAGTGGCTGCGGCGGCGATACCGCCGCGTGCTGACCGGCCCGGGGTGGTGACGTCAGCACCGGGGCGGCCTCCGATGCTGACGGCGGCGGCTCGTGACTGAAGGCGCGGGCGTCGCATTCGCCGGCGGCGGTTTGATTTATCGTGCGGCGTCCACCGACCTGTCTCGTTAGAGCGGGCCCAGGCGGAGAGCGTGAGACCCATTTTAGACGTGACGGTGGGCGACGCCCGTGGCGGAATATGTGGCGAGTGGTGTAGCGCTGACAGGCGAGTGGTGGAAACCCGCCCGATGTTTGATATACCGCGAAGCTCATTTTACATCTGGGACACGGATCATCTTTACCCCGGAATGTACCTCGTCGAAATAGCACGCACTGGTGGTGTTTTGTGTGGTAAGCCAAATGGCAGTTCCTTGCCACACGAGTTGCACAAAAACTGCCTCGCCCGCGGTCTCCGTGCGGTCCGACGAGGGCCACATCGGCAGGCGCAGGCTCCGTTTTGCTGGTCTCCGCACTGACGTGTGCAGTTGGAACGCGTGTTGACCGCAGGGCCGAGTAGGTGACCTGATGGAACAGTGACGCCAGACGGGGACGGTTACGAGGGAGACTAGGTCGCTGGCAGTGGGGAACGTAGGGCGCAGAGACGGATGATGGTTAGAGTATTTGCTTCTAGCACGACGTGCATGAAGAGACTGAAGCGGAAGCCTGAGGACCGTGATTTCGCGACTGCGCGCATGGCCTGTATATTTTGTCTGCCCCAATCATGAAACGTGTTGGCCTCGATAATGAGAATCAGGAGTGCGCCGCGTCAAATGCAGTAAATACTGCCGTAGGGGAAATAACCCATGGAATAAATATTCCTAAGATAATTTGATAAATGTTATTTAATAGTATAGTAATA